GGCCCGCCGCCCGAAGAGAGGCCCACCGTGGCCCCCGGCGCGGAGGGCCTGCGAACGACGGATGCCCCGGGCAGCCCGTTCGCACATCCACGGCCAGAGCTGCGAGGCGGGGACTTGTCCACATCCACCGCCCGGGAGCCGACGTCCCGGTGCCCCAGCGGGCGGTGGACATGGGGTCCGAATCTGTCCACGTCCACCCGCCTGCCGAGTTCCCCGACACTGGTCCTCCAGGCGGTGGTCACGAATAGAGAGTCCCGCCTCGGAGAAGGCCCACTCGGACTGGGCAGAACGTGGGCAGCTCGACTGTGGCCCCTGTCCTGGTCGAACGCAGCCCTTTGCCGAACCGCCACCAATTCGCACGCGTGTGCGGCTCAGAGAGGCTGGTGACCCGGGCAGTGCAGAGGGGGCAGGTCAGAGGAGGAAGTCAGGAGATAGACTAGCAGGTCATGGCAAAGGGTGAAGAGGTGGGCTCGCGTATCCGCACCAGCTCCTCCGGGGGACCTCTGGGGTCCTCCTCGTGGGCCTCGCTTCGGTCACCAAAGCGTCCCCAGAAGGCCCACAGACGGCCCAAGAGAGCCCAAGCACAGCCATTCGAAGCCCCACGATGGCCCCAAGACAAGCCACGACGTCTCCAGTGAGTCCCCGTAGGCCTACGAGAGCCCTCGACGAGGCAAAGATCAAGTATTCCCTATGTTTGCGTGAATTGGGCATATTCGATGTCTCTGTCGTCAGAGTGTCTATGACGGCCCCAAGACGGACCAAAAAAGGACTGAGGATGGCCTCAGAGGGCTCCAGAGGCCGTCGAGACACCCCAAGATAGCCCAAAGACGCTCCCAGAGCGTTCCGAAGAAAGAGGCCACAGACGGCCCAAGAAGGACCCAAGGAGGACCCTTCACCGCCAAGAGAGTTTCAAAACGCCCCCAGGCGGCCCCAGGACACGCCAACATGTCACAGATGCGGGCCAACTACCCGAAAAGGGAGCCCACCGTGGCTCCCGCTCTGCGACTCAGTTGAGTGCCATCATGTCTCGGGAGATGAAGGGCAAACCAGCTCAGCAAGTCTGAGGTCCTGGGTGGCTCGTCATTCTGGGATGCGCGCTGTTGTCCATGGACGTTGATCCCATTGAAATGCCCTGCCCCGCTCGAGTCTCGCACCTGTTCGCACGGTCCCATGCTGAGACCGTGCGCCGTTCGAGCCCGCTCGGCCGCTTAATGGGCCGCCGATCGCGTTCAGCTTCGACAAAGTTCTTGCGAATTCAGAACACTCGGCCGTCGCACGCGATCGTCCAAGGATCCTTCGCCACGGGTGCTCTTTTCTGAAAAGCACTCCAGGGCACGGAGGAAGGAACGGAATGCGCAAAGTGGCAGCGCGACTTGGCCCAACAAATGTTGCTTGTGTGACGACCGAACGCCATACAAAATGGTACCGACAACTTCGCGCCTAACGCCGCATGAGACGTATGGGAGCACCCTGTGCGCACCATGTGAAGCGACACTGTCGTGCGCTGTAGCGCGTGTAACTGCCCGTGCCATGTTGCGTTCGGAACAGATGTACTACTACCCTCCTCTTTCGGCACTATGGAGCTAAAATATCCGACGTCCTCCAGCCGAATGAACCCAGAAGGGAACCCAGGTGAACAGTCGTCGTTTTCCGGAAGCCGCCGACCCCCTCCTGAGCAGGAGCCGCTAGAAATGAGTTCTGAACGATGGCATCATACGAAATACCAACAGAAGAAGCAAACAGAAAAACAAAGAAACACCATATGCGTGGCCTAGGAGCAAGACGCAACCGCAGAAGCAGAAACGAAGAGCAGCAGAAGTAGCAGCAGAAGGAGCAGCCGCAACAGCAGAAGCAGCAGGAACAGAAGCAGGATCACGCAGCAGGTCCACCCCTCCACCGCTGTCGTGCCCTCCGTCTGCAGCGGCGTACACGCGGGTCCCGCAAGTATACACCACGAGGCGGCAATAGAAAAATAAAAGATCACGCGCACGGCCGCCACGGCAGGGGCCGCCACTGCCTGCCTGCGCCAAACGGGGGTGCTTGTAACGTGGCTATGCGCGAGGATGGTGGTCGCATTTGTCCGAGAATAGTTGCTGCCAGTCACTCTGCTGCCACCCGGGAATGGTGTATAAAAACGAAGGACTCCCCCAATATACTTACACGACAGCCCTACATATAAACGGTGCGAATGTGTAATTCATTGCTTGCGCATCGAACCGCGCGCCCGCATGACGCTGCGCAAACGACATGCTATCATCGCGTGGTTTGCCACACCTTGTGACCAATCGCAGAAACGGTAACCCCGTCAACCTCCATGGCAAAAAACAGGCCGCGGTAGTGGTGGGCCCAAGATGCAATTAACGGCAGCGGCGCGAACCTCCTTTTGCGGACAGCCGCGGTTGCACCCTGTCTATGCGCAGCCGTGCAAATTCGTGGATCCTTGCCACATCGTCAGGGCTCGACAGGGGCTCCGCGGAGAATTCGCCCAGCACGCGGCCGCCACACCACCCCTCCAGGGAGGGGCGGGGACCAGAGGGGAGGAGCTGGGAGGCGGAGAGGATGAATCTTGGGGGCTCTGGAGAAAGGGGAAGGGAAGGCTTGGAAAAACGGGGCGAGGATGCTGGCGACGTTGACGACGAGGAGGGAGCCGCTCCCCAGGAGCGGCCCCCCGGAGTGGGCCCCGGCGCGTCCGGGCGAAGCGCCCAGGTCGGGCATGGCATGTCCTCCTACAGGCAGATGTTGGACGAACGTTCGTATAGATCTGGTTTCTCTCCAGTAACGAAAATCCGATGATAGCCAAACATCGTCCCCTCCAAAAAACACGTCACCACTATGTTTGACTAGGTTCGAAGATGCCTCCTGTAGAGGAACAGGCCCGATTTCACCCTCGGCCGACCTGGGGACAGAGACCTCGAAGCCGCCCGGGGCGCAAGCGGCACCCGAGCCCGCCTCCGAGACCGGGCCCAGGGAGGCCCTGGCCCCCACGGGGTGCCAGCGCACGGTTGCTGCGAGGACGACACCCAGCGTCCCGAAAAAGACAGGACGGACTGCCTGTCGACTCTTCTGGTTTCTGGGGGGGGGGGGGGGGGACTCGCTGGGGCCCCGCGGGCCCTCCAATGAGACGGCTCGTGGCCGCGAGGTGCCGGCCCGGGGGAGGGGGCCTGAACTTCGGGGGGCCCGGCGCTGCACAAGCCAGGACATCGGCGATCTGGGAGTGGCCTGCGGTGCGCGACTTTGCCGGGGGGGCCCAAAACCCGAACGCGCGGGCCGCTGCTACCGTTGTTCCACGCGCTCGAGCTGGAGCCCGTCTTCCACGAGCTGGATAAATGTCCTCTCGCGCCAGTCTGTCTTGACCGCTCGGCTTCTGGAGGCCCCCGATTTTGGTATGAAACTGCCCGGGTCGGGGTTGTCCACGAACTATTCGTGGACTGTGGAGCTGATTGCCCACTGGATCTTCACCGAAGTCCCGTGCTCCTGTGGGTACTCGACCACGTTCACCACGCAGTCGGCCTTTCGCGGACGTCCCAGCCCAACTCCATGATGATGCAAGGGCCCCTGCAACTCCTAGGCGTTCCAGCCCTTCTGGGGTGCGGGCGCCCCGTAAACCGTAACCGAAGACATTCCAGTGCCCGAGGACACAATCGGCCGACCCTGGAGCGTTGTCAAAGCGTTTTGCTGCACGCTCTGCTCAACTCTCAGGGTGTCCACCTGGACGATCGAAATATCCTGCTCCACCTTCGAACGACGAGCCTCCACGGGGGCGATCCGAGAAATGTAAGTATCACATCACTCACCGCCACGTCAGGGCAAGGCCAGGTCGTCATTGGTGCATGTGCCCAATTTGAACCTCTGACATGTCTTCCGCGGCACTTATACAGGCCATCCCCGCCGCCACCTTGCCCGCAATGGTGAGCAATATCACTGTTAACCCCCATTGCTCTTGCCCGATCGACCGGAAGAACCTCACACCCAGCCCCCATGCTGCAGGCTATGTTGGTCAATCCCGCTTTCGGTTCCATAGCCGACGCTGTCCACCACGGATCACCCATCAGCAGCAACAGCACAAGAGTGCCCAACCCCTCGAAGCTGCTGGTGCCCCTGTCCACGCGTCCGCCATGGCTTTGAACTCTGAAGTAGTTTTTTTTTTTTTTCAGTCACATGGGCAGAAGGTGCGCCGCTCCGAGGTCGGCGAACCCATAGGCCTTCAGCCTCTGGAGCTGGAGGCTCTGGCCTTCTGGTGTCTCTGGAGTGTAGCGCACAATACGAAAACATAGGAATGGTACCGCGGCCTGGCCGTGCAGACGTACAGCCAGCGTGCCACCATAAGAGGGGCTGAATAAGGAACGGAGGGGCCTCTGAGGCCACGGCGGGCCTCTCGATCATGCATAGGTTCCCCGACGTCAGGAACGCCCCGAAGACCAGAGCCCCTGGTGCGGGCAATACTGATATCCATATCCAGAGCGTCGTGGACTTTTTGGGAAGAGGTGCCGCAACGCCGAGGCGCAGTGGATATGGATAAAATCGAGCCTCTTGGGGCCAGATTTGTGTCCAGATCCACTGCGTCTACGGTTTCTGGGGAAGAGAGCCCAAGAATCCAAGACGCACTGGATGTGGATATAACCATTGCCCGCACCTGGCGAACCCAAAGTTGTCTTCATTTCGGATTCTTGACGGCAGGACCGAAATGAATCGACGCAAGCTGCAAGACTCTGAAAGGGTCACGTGGCACCCGTGTGGTGCGTCTCCTGTGCGAGCCCCGGACCGTCCTTTGAGCGCCACTGTGGCGCTCCTCCACCTCGAGCCAAGGAGGTCTGACGGAGGAGGATAAGGCTCAGGAGGGAGGAGGGGTTCTGGAGAAGAGTCCGAAGGAGGAGCAGAGGCCGCACTCTGCCCCTGTTAGCCGTCAGTCGCACTGTCGCACTCGGGTGAGCCACATCCCTGCCGACGCTACAAGCTGGCTGGCTGGCGTGCGGCCACAGCGCGCAAGTACGTCGCCAGCCCTAACATTTCAGGAAGCTCCTGACCTTGTCGGGGTCCAGGTTGAGCTTGACCTTCGCTGCACGGTAGGGGAGAGGGGTCGTGCAGGGCTCGCCACACATAAACATGCCGTTTAGCCAGAGCCCAGACCATACTCTGTCAGCATCCCCTCTCTCCCCATCTCTCCTAGTCCTTTCCTGCGTATCTTCCTCTGCTGACTTCTCCATCCAAAAAGTCACCACCATCCTGTCCCCCTCGCCACTCGCCTCCCCTCATCGCTCCTCCCCCTCCTCATCCTCTCCGCCCTTCCAACGCCTCCCTCCCCCGCCCCCTTGCCAGAAACTCATTCATCGGACCGGAACCCATCGGAGCCCCTAGAACGATGGAGAAGGATGAGCGAGCAGGAAGAATGAGGAAAGGGGGAAGCGAGAGAATGAGAAAAACTGGCGTTGTATGGTTGTGAGGTACAAAAGGCGCCCGTACTCCAGTTCCCGGACTGACCCTGAGCAAGCTGCACAAGGAGGGACGAGGAGGGGGGAGAAAGGGGTGGAAAGGCGAAGAGGGAGGGAAGGGAGAAAGGACGAAGAGGAGGGGACAAGAAAGGACTAGGAGGGAGGAGGGAGGGAAGGAAGAAGGGGCGGGAGGAGAGGCGGGAAAGAGTCGGGCGGAGAGATCAAAGTGAAGAGGACGAGAACGAGAAGGAGCCCGGCCACAACGCTCCCACCAACCCACCTTGCCCACCTTGCGAGGGCACCTGCATCTGCCGTCCAGATGCCGCTTCCGTCGCCCCACAGTTGATCAACACAAATTGAAAAGGCCACAACATGAAAAGGCCTGCACAGCAAGTCGGGCAACGAAATAGAAGAACGGGGCACGGCGCTGCGAAGGCAGTCGGGCCTCAGTGGTGCGGCCAGAACACGTCGTGAGGGCACGCACTCGCTACATATATCCCGCCTCATCATTATCATCATGATCAGCATCATGATCATCATCATCATCATCATCATCATCATCATCATCATCATCATCATTATCATCATCATCATCATCATCATGATCATCATCATCATCATCATCATCATCAGCAGCATAACCATCATCATCAGCAGCAGCATCAGTATCAACATCATCAGCATCATCATAATCATCTCATCATCATCAGCACCATCATCATGATCATGATCATCATCAGCATAAGTCACATCATCATCAGCATCATGATGCCCATCAGCATCATCAGCAGCAGCCTCATCGTCGTAATCCTCATCAGCACAACATCATCAGCATCATCATCAGCGTCAGCATCATCATCGTCATCATCAGCATCAGCATCATGATCATAATCGTCATCAGCAGCATCATCAGCATGATCATGACCAGCATCAGCATCATCATCAGCATCGCGAGCGTCATCACCATCATTACCATCATCAGCCTCACCGCCACCACCACCACCATCGCCATCATCATCGCCATCAGCAGCATCATCATCTGCATCATCATCATCATCATCATCATCATCATCATCAACATCATCATCTCCACCATCATCATCATCACCGTCCTTACCTGTACGTTAGCGGAGGATAATGAGGCTCGGCGGGGGGGCAACAGATGTCTCACTCAATCGATCGCACCATCCATGTCACGACCGATCTCAATATCGAGATTGCAATCATATTGACGATCGATCTCTCTTTCTCTCTCTCTCTCTCTCTCTACCGTTCCCTCTCGACCGATCTCACCATCGATCCCTCTGTCGATCCCTCTCGACCGATCTCACTATCGATTTCAATATCGATCTCAGTATCCCTCTCGCATTCGATCTCAATAGCGATCTGACTGTCGCTCTAACTATCGATCTCACTTTCGATCGCACTATCGATATCAGACTCGATCGCACAATAGATATCACGATAGTTCTGATGATCGACATCACTGTCAATCTCACCAATATCACGATCGATCTCACGACGGGTCTCACTATCGATCGCATTACCGATCTCACACCTCACTATCGATATCACTATCGATATCATTATCGGTATCACTACCGGTATCATAATAAGTATCATGATTGAACCCACGATCGTTAACACTATCGATCGTACTATCGATCTCACAACCGACCCCAATGTCGATATCAAAATCGATCTCATGATCGATAGCATGATCGATCTCAGACTCGATATCACCATCCATCTCACTATCGATCTCACTATCGATCACCATCCATCTCACTACGGGACACCGACGGGGCACCGAGGGAACACCGACAAGACACCGGCGGGACAACCGCGACACACCCCCAGCCACCGCCAGACAACACGAGGGGGGGGCGGTACTTGGGCCCTGCGGCGCCATAGCCAGGAAGGCTCAGTCCTCTCGCCCGCCCACGCAGCTTCGCCTCGCCCTCGCGCACGACACGAACGCGCAACTGAAACCGACATGCCTGGTGGGGTGCTCTCCGTTTCACTGCGACCTCACGCCCTCACTTCCGACCACCCTTGCCTTGGAAACCTCCTGCGCTCACAGGAATGACGCCTGGAACCTCCTCCTCCTCCTCATCATTCCCCTCCTCCTCGGTACCCGAGGCACGTCGCCGCGGGTGGTATGGAGCGATGTGGCCTTGATTGTACCCCGTTTCGCAGCACCGCCGCCCCCTTTTCCTGCACTTCGGGCGCCGTCGCGGCACTCCGCGGAGTGCCGCGCGGCGCGGCGGTGCCGTCGTTGACGCGGCAAATAGCATGGGAAAAATGCCGGGTACTCTGCGGGAATCCTGCGGGCCTGGGCCGGGGATTCACGGGGGGGAAGGGTGGGCGAGGGCGACAGACGACGACGACGACGACGACGACGACGACGACGACGACGACGACGACGACGACGACAAGGACGACGACGGTCACGACCACGGCGCGGGAAACGCGACAGAGCGACGAGCACGACGACTGGCGGCGACGACGAGGACGGCGAGGGGCGGGGCGCAAGAGCGCAAGGGTGCAAGGGCCACCGCCCGCCCACCGCCGACGGAACACCGACGGGACGGCAACGGGACATCACAGGACACCACTACGGCGGGACACCCTGGGCTACCACGCGCCCACCCGGGGCGGAAGGGCGGTCCACTGCATCTGAATCGCCCTGGCGACGGCGTGGTCACTCCTCTCGCGCGCCCACGCAGCTTCGCCTCGCCCGCACGCACGGCACGAGCACGAAATCGAAACCGATTTCCCAGTGGGGTGCTCTCCGTTCCACTGCGATCTCATCCCCCAACCTCCGATCATCCTTGTCCGGATTATCAGTGTCCTCTTCCTACTCCTTAGCATCACCATCATACTCGTGGAGATGCCAGGTCATCCTCATCCTTCTTCTCCTCCCCATCATCATCACCCTTCGCCTCCTTGTCCTCGCCCTCCCCCCTCCCCCGGCCCCTCCGTGGCCATTTGGGCTCGAGCGTCGTCTCACTGCGCCCTCGCTCGGCGGTCTCGGCAGTCACTTCGCCCTCCCGCTCTCGCCATGGGCCCGACGTCCAGCGCGCGTGGCCCCGTGGTGCGCCACGGGCCCCGCGCGGTGCACCTGGCCGATCGAGGAGGCGGCGCGGCCCGTGCGGCCGTTGGTGGTCCCCAAACGTGGTGGTGAGAACACCCGGTGGTGAGTTTTGGGCGATTTGGGTGATGGCTTTCGAGCGCTGGCTGGCCCAGGAAGCGCAACACCTCGTGGCGGCCGCGTGTCCCCAAACCCGGTGGTGACCCAGAATTATTTTGTGGGGGGAATCGGGGTCACCACCGGGCGTCTCACCACCTGGTTTGGAGACCACCAAGGCCGATCGACGGCGGTGGCGGGGACGGCCGCGGCGTCCCGGAGAGGCCCGAGCCCGACGTCGGCGGGGCGAGGGGCAGAGCCTCGGGCCGGGGCGCGAGGCCGCCTCGGAGGGCATGCGCCGCGGGGTGCGAGCGGCTGTGGGCCCCGCGTGCCGGCGCCGCGTGTTCGGCGGCAGCGGCAGGTCCACCACGGAGGCGCCTCACGGAAGCGCCCTACGGAGGTTACGAGACGTGCGGGGGGACGCGTGGCACAAGGCAGGACTACGCCGGTCTACGCATGTCTCGGAACCTCCGCCTCTGGGTTGCAGTATCAGGGGTCGAGCTCCTTTGCAACCGTCAGACTGTACGGTCAAAATGCACCGTCGGAAAATGGCTCCCAGACAAAGTGTGGTCGACGGATGTTGCGGAGTCTGCCTTCGTAGTACGCCAGGTTTTCAAACGCCACAGGTTCCTACCTTGCGCAATCTCCTAAGTGAGTCATTGTGTTCAAGGGCATGCGCAAGCGAACATAGAACATTCGCCCAGCGAGAACTTCTCACGGCTGTTGGTGTGCGAGCCATGGAACACTGCGTCCAAACAGTGGCTCTTGGTCCTGACGCGCTACCGTGCTAAGCTGCAGTGGGCTCCATGTGTGTGTGCAAATTGACGCGGCAAGGCCCAGAGGAAGGATCTTTACCTCTGGCCAGCCTGCCCCTGCTCCTCTCGTCCCTCCTCCCTCTTCCTCTGAAATGCTTCGTCTCAGAACATCGCACGACCGCTACAACGCAGGGCGCGTGCATCTTGCAATGTGTAAGCGCAGGTTCTGCTCGAGCGCCGTGCTGGAGACTGGAGCATGTCGGCGGCGACGATAGGGGCGAATAGCCCAGGGGCGGGCATTGCACGTATTCGCCCGGGAGCCTTGTCGAAGACATAGATCATCGACGCCCCTGGATACATGTACTGCTCCCCCCTGGGCTATTCGCCCCTATCCTCGCCTCTGAGCCTGGCGCCTGGCTTCTGACCGGAAGCGCCGTGCGAGAAGCCTGGGCCCGAAGAAAACGTCGACGAGGGAAGTCTGGCTGCGGCGTGTGAAGGTGCTGCCCGACCGCGGCCTCCAGAGTGCGCCATCCTCAGGTCGGGCACGTCCTCCTACAGGGGGATCTTGGACGAAAAATCAAGAATAATCCCACCAGCCCTCTGGGCGTCGGTGGATTAGGGAGTTTCCTCTTCCACCCCTCCTTCCTCCCCTTCGGGGAGGGGTTTACCCCTCCCCCTACCCCCTCCCCATGGACCTGGACAAGGGGTTTCGCGAGTCGTCGGAGCGTCCAAAACGGCCTCGGCGAGGAAGCCAAATCAGTGGTTTTACTAGGATGTTGGCCCCATTTGGGCCTCCGGGGGGGGGGACGCTAATTGATGCTCCCCTCTTGTTTGATCGATCTCCTCCAAGATGGCCCCAAGAAGCGCCCAGGAGGCCTCAAGAGGTCCCAAGATGGCCCCAAGATGGCCGCAAGAGGCCCCCAAGAGGCCCCCAGGAGGCCCCCAAGAGACCCCCAAGAGGCCCCAAGAGACCCCCCAGAGGCACCCAAGGTGCTCCAAGAGGCCTCGGCGAGAATGCCAAATCATTGATTTACAAAGGTTTTAGCCACATGTTGGCCTCTTGGGGGGGCAGGCACTGATTAAGATGACTCCATGAGCGCCTGGGAGAGCCCAAAATGACCTCCAAGATGGCTCAGGATATCCCAAGATGTCTCATAATGGCTTCCTCTGTGTGCTGCCCACTTCCCTGATAAAGGCAATTCCTCTGGGCATCGTTTCTGGATGGGCTGGTGGGGATTCGCGAAGCGTCAACGCGAAGGGTCCAACAAAAATTCATAAATCTTCTTGAAAAGCAAAAAACATTATCAACAAATCGTCCCCAGACTATTGTTTATGACTAATTTTGAATATTCCTCCTGTAGTGAGACAGGCCCGACTCAACGCTATCCGCACAGGCCAACTTTTGGGCGTCAAAGCGGAAGATACCTTCTGCTGGGCGCGCTTCTAAAGACGCGGCCGCTGGGCAGACATGGTGCCGGCGGCCATGTGGAGACGGAGCCTGACGCCTTCGGGAACGAGGCTCGCAGAGCCTCTCTGCCAAGCTAGCGCCCGAGAAGGCGGCCAGTGCCGCGATGGCAATGAAAATGCAAGTGCTGAAGCTTCATGTCGCGATGCTGCACCACAAGCTGGACGGTAACGCAGCGGCTGCAGAGACGGAGACATTGAAGCACCAGTTCTCGGAACCGCGCGGCCAACCGAGGTCGGAGGAGGCCAAGCGGGAGGCCGCCAACGCTGCCGCGACCGCGGCCGCCACGGACACACGGCTTTTCAAGCAGGCTCTAGAGCGGAGTGGCAGTACAATCAGGGGGGACCACAACTGCGCCTTCACAAAGATGACTACAGCTTTTGGCGCCATGCTGGACCCCCTGGGGCACTCTGGGACTCGTGAGGGGTGCTCTGGAGGCCGTGAGGGCCTCCACGGAAATTCTGAGGACACCCTGGGCCAGGAAAACCTCCAGCAACACCCGATCCAAACTGTCCGAGGCAAAGCGGCGGCGAACAACACCGCCGCAACGGCGGAGGTGGAACAGCTGAGGCAGCGGGTCTCGCAGCACGTGACCTTCGAGCAGCGGGAGGCGCGGTTGCATGCAGAGGTGGAGGCGACGCTCCGTCCACGCGGCCACGAGGGCGCCGAGGCCGAAGCCGCGGCAGTGGCCCTGGGCGAGCAGGGCAGCGGGCTGGAGGACGGGGCGACGCGGCGCCAGCGGGGACGCCGACGCCGCACCGCATCCTTCCCGCAGCGACGAAGCGGCCGCCGGGAGCCAAGCCCTCGGGCCTGCCGGCGCGGCCAACCAGGGAAAACAGAGTCGTGCAGCATGCTGCTTGTTTGTGTGATGCGCTCACGGCTAGGAGGAACGAAAATGAGGTCGGCAGCCAAGCCTCGTGGGCGCACCGCCGAGAACACGTCGACGCAAGCAGAGCGGTCGGCCCGACTTCCAACACTTCAAGCCCAGATTGGTCGCTGCCCTGGCCGTTCTGTGCAGGTGGGCAACCGCTGCCTGCCTTTGAGGTCGGCATCAGGCAGCCTACCAGCAGCGGGGCAAATGATACTTTCACGTGAGCGGAAATGTTGCAGAGGAAATGTTGCAGAGGAAATGCCAGCACGTGCCGCACGTTGCAGAGGAAATGCCAGCACGTGCCTCGCGTGGGTCGAACCGCAGCCGTGCCTCACGCTGCAGGGGAAATGTTGGTGCAGATGTCCAGCAAGCGGGCGGCCGAGGCGGCGCAGCTCCCGCGGCAGGCCGACGGGCGAGCCGAGGCCACGCTGGCGGGTGCAGCGCCGGGTGCCCAGAGCCGCGAGCTGGCGCCCGAGCAGCGGCAGCTTCAGCAGGTGGTCTCACAGCTGCATGCTAACGAAGCCGCGCGGCAGCATGCGCAGCTGGCAGTTGCGGGACAAACCGAGAAGGTCGGCAGCCTGGAGGACGCGATGGCGCAGCTCCAGCAGCATGGCGCGGGGCGGGGCGCGGTGCTCAACAGGGCCAGCAACGTCTGGCGGAGCTCAACAGGGCCAGCAACCATCAATCAACTGTGCTCGCTTGCAGTAGCATTTTGAACGTGCGCTGGCCTTGGTGCCGAGAGGGCTTGAATCGGTCTGCCCAGGCCACCTGCTGCATGTGAAGAACGTGGTGGCGCCTCCATGCTGATGTGGGACATTCGCCTCCTCCCGCCCTTACCGATGACCCGCGGCGCTCCTCCTCCTCCAACTCCTCCGTCCCCTCACCACAATCACCACTATCACTACCATCATCATCATCATCATCATCATCATCATCATCATCACCATCATCATCAGCATCATCATCAGCATCGCCAGCATCATTATCATCTACATTATCATCATCATCATCATCATCATCATCATCATCATCATCATCATCATCAGCAGCAGCAGCAGCAACATCATATTCATCATTCTCAGCATCACCACCATCATCGTCGTCATCATCATACAGATCATCAGCATCAGCATCAGCACCATCATCATCAGCATCAGCATCATCATCGTCATCATCATCATCATCATCGTCCTCCGCATCATCATCATCATCCTTCATCATCAGCATCAGCATCATCATCATCATTATCAACATCATCATCATATTCATCATCATCGGCATCACCATCATTATCGTCGTCATCATCATCAAGATCATCAGCATCAGCATTATCAGCAGCATCATCATCGGCAGCCATCAGTATCATCAGCAGCAGCCGTATCAGCATCCGCATCATCATCAGCAGCAGCGTCAGCATCATCATGAGCATCAACATCGTCATCATCAGCATCAACATCATCATCAGCATCGTCCGCATCATCACAAATATTTAATCGTCATCATCATCAAAACCTTCGTCATCAGTATCAGTATCATCATCAGCAGCAACATCAGCATCATCAGTAGCAGCAGTAGCATCATCAATCTCAGCATCATCATCATTACCACCACCATTACCACCACTACCACCATCATCATCATCACCACCACCACCATCATCATCATCATCATCATCATCAGCATCATGACAATCATCAACATTATCATCGGCATCATCGTCATCATCCTCATCGGAATAATTAACATCAGCGTCGTCAGAATCATCATCAGCATCATCGTTATCATCATAAGCATCACCATCGCCATCACCATCACCAGCATCAGCATCACCGTCATCATAATCATAATCAGCATCATCAGCATCAGCATTACCAGCATCAGTATCAGCAGCAGCAGCAGCATCAGCATCATAAAGATCATCAGCATCATCATCAGCAGCATCAACATCATCCGAATCATCAGCATCATTAACATCAGCATCAGCAACACCATCATCGTGACCGAAGACTTCGACTCCGTCTCCAGCTTGCGCTTCCAGCTGCCAGAGGCACCCGAGTACTTGTAGTCCAGAAGCGAGTTCACGTTCTCGCACGCACGTAGTGGATGGAAGGAATGGTGCGCACCGTTTGACTAGTCTGGATGTATGCGCAGTGAACTCGAATGTTTGATATCCCTGCACGTCAACCGAAAGACCTCAGAGAAACTTCGTGATGTACCAAGAGAATAGGGAGCCACAATAGCTGGTTCAACGCACATGTCAATAACTCTAAGAGGCATTGCTCATGTATGAGGACACGCGTCTTCAACTGACTGCATGTAGCCCTGCTTGGCATCACGCGTTCCGCTCAATTGCATGTGAGTCCCCGCGGCCAACTAGTAAATAAATTCTGGACCCCCTACCCGAACTCACTGTCACTTGCAATGTAATGGCACTGGGATGTCTCAAGGCGTTGCGAATGACCTATAACTGGCCAGCAGCAAAACAATCGCTGGTTGCACCTCGACCGTCTCTTCCAACCACTCGGCAGCCGGCATACTCTCCCTGGCGGGCATGCAACAGCATGTTAACGCTAAATAAACACAGAAGTCGAGCTGCTGCATCTCATGAGCTGCCCCCCCCCCCGCGGCGAAGCTTCCTATGGGGCCACGTAACGTGCGAGGGATGTGCCGAAGTGGGTGCGACGCCACCATGTGGACGGTGCCACTGGGGCATTGGGCGAAATCCCGATGGGCCCACGCAGCGTGTGCGGGGTGAGCCGAAACGGGTGTGACGCCACCATCTGGACGGAGCCGCTGGAGCCTTAGGTGGAGCTTCCCATGGGGTTTCGAAACGTATAAGCCACGAAACGCATGAAGTCCGTGTCGAAACAGCCGTGACGCCCACATGTGGACGGCTCCTCTGGGGCATTCGGTGGAGATCCCTATAGGGCCACGAAATGTGTGGGAAGTGTGTGAAGCGGGGACAGAGAGCGTTTCACGGGCGCTTGCCTTGGGAACATTCGGCGGCGCGTTTCGAACTGGGAAGGGACCCCCCCCCCCAACACTCGGCGCCGTCGATCAGAACCAGGGGGACTCCCCTCCCCCTTACCCCCCCCCTCCCCGAACCCGCCTCCCCCAAGCGCTGGCGCCGGCGATGGCGCAGGCGCTGGCGGCAGCCAGCAGCGCCGACGGCGGGGACGCAGCAACGATGACCAGAGAGGGCTCAGGGAGGTTCGGGAGCGGCCAAGAGGGGGGTGTCCAAGAGGGGGGGGGTGAAAATCATGACCGGCGGCATGTGCGCGGCCCAGCGGGGGGGCCAGGGACCGTAATGAAATAAGAAGAGGCGCCATGAAATCTGGAGGAATATTATGGCCCCCGCCATGATATCCACCCCCCCCTAGTCATCACCCCCCTTTTTTCCGCCCCCGAGAGGTGAGGGGTGGGAGGGGTTCAACCCCCCCCCCCGGCCGGCGCGGGCGCCAGCGAGCGCCGGCGCCTGCGGCGGCCAGGGGCCGGGGGTCAGGGGCCGACCGGGGGGGACGCAGCAGCGATGGCCAAAGAGGGCCCGTAGGCCGCAGCGGGGAAGCACAAAACGATATGTCGAGCCCTCGCCCCTCGAAAGCCACCGAGAGGCCCTTGGGAAGGTCCAGGACGCTTCACCAATGCCAAAGAGGGCCCGTAGGCCGCAGAGGGGAAGCACAAAGCGATCTATATATATATATATATATATATCGAGCGCTCGCCCCTCGAAAGCCACCGAGAGGCCCTCGGGGAGGTCCAGGACGCTTCACCAATGCTCATCGGACGCCCCCGAGACCCCCAAGACGAGACCTCAAGAGACATCCATTGGAACTTTGACCGAAAGCCGAAACACGGCGGCGGGAAGACCCGAAGGCCACACCAATACCACCACAGCAAACCACCACACCACCACCACCACAACCACCACCACAACAACCACCACAACCCACCACCGCCACAACCACCACAATCACCACAAACCACTATACACAACCACCACCAGAAACGACCACACCACCACCACAACCCACCACCACCACCACAACCCAACACCACCACAAACTACCAAACCATCACCACCACCATCACCACCACCGCCACCACCACCACCACCAAAACCCACCACCACCACCACCACCACAAACCACCTCACCACCACCACCTTCACAACCACCACTACCAACATCACCACCACACCACCACAACCACCCACCCACCACCAGCACCACCACCAGCACCACCACCACCACCACCCCCACAGACCACCACCACCACCAACAACCCCATGACAAACCACAATGCCACAACAACTGCCACCATCGCCACCACCACCACCACCACCACCACCTCAACCCACCCCCACCACCACAAACAACCACACAAACACCACCACCACAGCCACCACGACCACAAACAACCAAACCACAGCTACCACCATCACCTCCACCACCACAACCACAACAACCCACGACCACCACCACCACACCACCACCACCACCACCACCACCACAACAAACCACCACCACAACCACCACCACCACAAACCACCATACCACCACCACCACCACCACAACAACCACCACAACCACCACCACCACCACCACCACCACTACAACCCACCACTACCACAACCATTATTACCACCATTACCACCACGACAGACCACCACACCACCACCGCCACCACCGTCACTACCACCACCCACCACCACCACAACTATCACCACCGCCACCACCACCAGAAACGACCACACCACCACCACAACCCGCCACCACCACCACAACAAACCACCACCACCACAACCTGCCACCACAACAACCACAATAACCACCCCCACCGCCACCACGACCAACCACCATCACCACAACCACCACCACCACCACCACCTCCACCAACCACCACACCACCACCACCACCACGTCAGAGAGGCCCCGAGAAACGCCCAAGATTTGCCCAAGAGGCTTCACAAATGCCCTTCAGAGGCCCCCGAAAGCCCTCCAACGAGAACCCAGGAGGCACCCATCAAGACTCTGACCCCGAACCAAGGCATGGTGGCGGTGCGTCGTCGTCGTCGTCGTCGCCGTCGACCTCGTCGACGCTACCCGCCGCCGCTGCCAACCGCCACCACAAACGCCGGCCCAGGAAAAGAAAACACCGTCGTCATCGACGCTCCCCGCCGACGCCGCCAGCCGCCGCCGACGCCGGTGCCGGCCCGAGGAGAAGGAGAAAGTAGGGCTGGGGGGGGTTCGAATCCCCCCCCCACCCCTTCAATCGGGGGGGGGGGTCCGGTTCCACCCCCCCCAAGCGCCCACAGAACGCGCTCTTTCCGAACGAGTGTGACGCCACAGTGTGGACGGTGCCATGGGGACGTTAGCTGGAGCTTCCTATCGGGCCACGGAACGTGTGAGGGGGGTGCCGAAACAGGTGTGGCGCCACCACGTGGACGGTGCCTCTGGCACTTTCGGTGGAGGTCCTGGTGGGGCCACGAAGCGTGTGAAGGATGAGCCGAAGCGTGTGCGGCGCCACCATGTGGACGGTGCCACTGGACCGAAGGATTGCCAACAAAAAAAAACAAAACGAAGGATTGCACAAAAACCTTCGCTGGATTGCAACCAAAAAAACCCTAGGATTGCAAAAAAAAAACGTACAATCCCTAGAAGGTTTTTTTGCAATCCTTAGAAGGGTTTTGTTTGAAACCCTAGGGTCTTTTTGCAATCCCTAGAAGGGTTTTTTTTGCAATCCTTCGTTGAAGTGGAGCTCCCTATGGGGCCACGAGAACTGCGATGGGGCACGCCGGGGCTGGAGCACGCGGAGGGCAGAGGGCCGGGGGCGGGAGGGGAGAGGGGGGAGTAGGGGCGTGAGCAGGGACGGTGGAGGGGGCAGCGGGAGGAGGCGAGACGAGAGACGCTGCCTCTTCCAAGCAAGAGGCCAACGTCACAAGATGGTTGGGAGCTGCCGCGCTCACAGCAACGACGATCCAAAACGGGTCTTGCGCGAGATTACACAACGGCCTTACGTCGCGGCTTATGCGGGTCGCCAGCGAGACACACACTTCGTGGTGAACAAGGGCGCTTACGTGCCGCCTTACGCGGGCAGTCTACGCGCCAGTGTCGGCGCAGACGACCCCGAGTTTTGCGTCGTTCATATGCTACGCCGCACTTTTCGAAGGAAGTTGTGAGGAGCCTCCAAAGATCCAGCAGTCTTACAGAAGCCCCATTCAGACAGATCCACTAAAAACCCAAAGACAGGCCGCGGCCTCCCCAGGATCACACCGAGAAGGTTTCAGGAAGGCAGCGAGGTCTTCTACGCCCTCGATATCCTCACGTGCGCCTTTTCCTCCCACGAGCGCCTCTGCTGAGCAGGTCGGATCGACAAAGAAAAAACGCAGGATCCCAGAATGCCCCCAAAAGCCCCCTACCCCCGCCCCCCCAGAAAAAAACATAACCCCCCCAGAAGCCTTCATACGAGGTTGCGACCACGCGGCACGCTGCAGCATCATAGCGCTTGCCCCTTACGGCCCAACGATGGGACGATCGAGCCGAATAGTTCGGGAGGGCAACGTGAAACTATACTGCATGCGTGTCGGTGTTGCGCCGTCTTGGCGGCGGGGCTTGTGGCCGGCATCTGCAACACGAAGGAAACATCACGTCCTGACGGATTTCGCAAATCTGATCGCTGCTGCCAGGGGTCGGAGGAGGAGGAGGAGGAGGAGGAGGAGGAGGAGGAGGACTGGTTGCCAGTGGTGCACAGACGTGTGGGATGATGAACTGCCCCAGGGTGTGAGATCCGAACACAAGGGAGAGGGGGAGGCTCGGGGGGGGGGGACCCAGGGGGGGGCTTCGGGGAGCGGGCCGTGGGCTGGGGCCCTGCGCGAAAAGTAGGTTGGCCGAAGAACGGATCCCTTTCCGAACATCCGACGACCAAGGCGGTAACGATGGATGAGTGACAGTGATGAAGGTTTTACCCTTCTCAAACCACCAACAATCAGAGCAGTGTGCCCCTGCGAACCGGAAGGGGCACCGGGCACAGTAAAGGAAAAGGAAGGTAGAGGTGTTCATTGACAGACCCAGTCGCGAAAACCGACCCGCGAGACACAATAAGCTAAACGCAGGGGAAGGGTTTGGGAGCGGAGCTAATGGGCCCCTACTCTGGATGAGGTAATTATCAGGGGGACGCTGATGAACCTTCCGACTGAGCTTGCCCAATCCCTTCCCCTCCATCCTCCTCCCCCTCCTCATCCTCTTTCTCTTCCTCCAACCCCTCCACCCGTGCCGACAGCACGTGCCCAACCCCCTAGCAGATTCAAGGGAGGCGATCAATGTCCCATCCAGGATAACCTACCCAGGCTGCACGCCACCTAATAAATGGGTCCGACTGATTGGGGCCGGAGGATCTCGCAGTATCGCCGACACGTCGGCGACGCGTTGCCGACGCATTGGCAACGCATCGGCCATGCAATGGCGACGTCGGCGATGCATGAGCAACGTCGGCGTGGAGAAATGGACCCCACATCGATCTGCATCGCCGGTGCATCGCCGACGC